GTGGGACAGCTGGGTGCCGCTGGCGCAGGGCATCTTGCGAGGCTTCGGTCTATCTCGGAGCTGGGGTAGCTGTCATCTGAGAGATCCACACCCTGGGTCCCTGTGCAGCTTCAAGCAGACCTGATTCCTCTGGGGAGGCTTCCCATTGGCTGTCGGTGCCCTCATGATGTGGTACATGTGTGTGACAGAGACAGAAATGGAGAGAGGCACACAGAACCTAGAGCAGGAGTCAGTTTCTTTGTAACCTAATCTTGGAAGGATCCATCCTTCACAGGGGAACTTCACAGGGAAACCATGTGGAGCTTGCTGCCTTGGTGGGGATGCAATGGGGCAAAGGGGGCTGACACCTTCTTTCCAGAGCAGAAACACCCAGGACATGGTCCGTCTTCCCCTCACCCAGGTGAGCAAAAGACTACATGGTACAGTATATCCTTCCAGATGAGGATTACGGACCTACCCCAAAGCCCCGTAATCCAGACATGATGGTACATACTTGTAATCCCAGCACTCTGGGAGGCTGAGCCAGGATGATAGCACATTGTCCCAGCCTGGACAATTTAGCAATTGCAAGCTACTGCCTCAAAATAAAAAATAAATAGGACTTGGGAAGTAGCTCCATGTGAAGGCTCTGGGTTCAATCCCTAGTGTGGGAGACAACGCCAGTGACTCCCTTTGAATCCAAAACACTGTGACTTTATTACTTGGAGACTCATTTCCTTATACTGACATGTAAAAAGCTGGCTAGGATATTTCCTTCTCTCTTCAATCGGCTCTGAGCATTGCAAATAAGGCTAGCTGAGGTGCTATTACGCATTCTCTATAGCAGACAGACAGTCCTGTTTCCTCACATAGTGTTCTCCATGTACAGGATTGAGCACTGTGAGATGTTAAAGCAAACAGCTCTGGGAATGTCAACTGGGTAGAGCCTTAGGATAAGAGGCTATGACTCCCCAGGGCACAAGAGTTTGCACACCAGAAACCAAAGCTATAGCCCCCCAAAACAATTCCACTGCTATCCTAATTGGATTTTGTAAATTGATCCTTCTGCATATCTTTATCTCTGCAATTTCCAGAGATGTCAATCTTGCATCTGGCCAGCCAGCTCAAGTTACTCAGGTAATTCCCGCCATCCTCACTGTCACTCATCCCTGAGCCACCCCTCTTCTTCACAAGATAATAAATTCTGGGAGAGACCGAGGATCAAGCCCTTTGTCCGCATGGCCTCACGGGGATTGGATTTAGGACCCATTAGCTGTCTTAACTTGGAATATGTCTTGGTGTCTTTGGATAGGTGGTGGTAGATTGGAATTAACTTGCTAGGATTCCAGCGGGATTACAAATATAACCTTTTGGATTGTGGGGAAAACTAGAAAGAGGATTACAATACTTGGATGACTGAACTCGATATTTCGGTTTACAATCCCTAGACACTGCAAAAACAAGCAGCGAACACCGTCACCCTCAGGACACCTCCACTGGGCACACTGTCATTTTCTCAGTTTTCATGATCCCTCAACCAGCCTGGACAGGACAGCATGTATTCGGTGTCTCATTTGTTTGTTGATTGACTGAGTCCCAAGGATGTTCAAGCCCCTTGTCACCCAATTATCCATACTAAAACAGTTCTGTACTACTGACTCTACCAGTGAGGAAACTGAGGCTCAAAGAACCAAAAACAAATGCCTCCATGGGCTCACACGGCTACCTGTGACTCAGCCCAAAGGTCCCCTGCACAGCCAGGCCACACTGAGCTCTGGAAGGTGGCCACCCTGGTTTCAGTCACCCTAACAAGGCTCTGTCATTCTGCACCTGGGCTGCCTGACCCAGGCACTCGGAAAACACCACTGTCACATTAGCCTTGCACAGAGGCCCGAGACAAGGGCACAGGGAGGCCAAGTCTCGGCCCTCTGAGCTTCTGGCTTCAGCTTCTCTCACATCCATGCGGTGGGAACTGGAAATCGTGAACTTCTGTCCACAGGTCTCATCTAGGCTGTGGGTATGTTTATAGTGCACTCAGTGTTTAATTTGATTCTAAAATTAGTTTCTAGAATATTTTTCTTGAGACAAGGTCTCCCTTTGGAGTTTATGCTGGCCTTCGATTTACAGTAATTCTCCTGTACTGCCATGCCCATCACCAGCATTTAAAAATTGAATGTCAATGAAACTTAAAGTTCTCATCCTTTACTGAGAATCGGGTAGAGCTGGCTACGCTGGACCCATAGTCCCTTCTATGACATCTGGCTGTGTCCTTGGCAGGTGCCTCTCACGACTTCACTCCCAATGTCTTCACCTGCTTGTGTCACCTGCTCCATTCTACGGAGCCTGCACAGGCTGACAGGCTCCAGGTGACAGTCACCATCAACACCCTGGAGGAGAAGTCACTTGAGGTGACAGGGAGGATGACATAGCCTATGACCAGCTGGCAGCCAGGTAAGTGCCACCATCTGTATCACCTCACCTGAGCCTGGCACCCTCAAGGGCTGGGTGTGGCTCAGCATGGCTCAGCCTAGGGGCTGTCCCTCTCCTGGCATCACTGGTGACATCACAGCCAAGCCCTGGGGAAGGTGGAATTTTCTCTGGCTCACACAGGTGGCAGTGACGATGTCTGGTCTTTCCAAAGAAGATGAGAAGAGAAATAGGAAGGAAGCTGAGGGCGGGGACATAGGGCCATTGATGTCTCCCCGTGCTGTCCTATAACATCAGATCCTACCCTGGCTTCACGGCCCTCCGAAACTGTACCCACACAGGGCCTGCAGCTCATACTCAGTATCATGGCCTTTCTTTCCTTGAAGTCCCCTGAACCCTCCCATATAGATTCGTGTTAGCTCATTCCCCACTGGAACCACCTCTTCATATTTTTGTGCCTCTGTTCCTCAGACATAGTCAGTCAAGCTACCCTCTGCCCCCAGGCAGAAACAATCTCCCCTGGGTGCCACAGCCCCAGCTGCATCCTGTTTCTGTGGAGCTGTGTTGCTGCCTGAGGCTTCTCTCTTGCCCTACTTCTATTCCTGTCCCTCGGTGACAGCAAGGAGGGCTTGACATGTAGTAACCTTGATCCTGGAGTCCAGTTAGGATCCCAGCTCTGGCACTCTGCCCTTGAGCAATCCACTCCCCAGCTCCCAGGCTTGGCCCCATCTGTTGATGAGCTCAGGGCTGGGGAGGGCTTTGAGGGTGGAAGTGGCCACAGGAGTAGGCAGCTGGTCCTGAGACAAACCACTCATCCATCATCTGGGTGGAGAATATACTGGGGACCCCCAAAAGCAGGCTGCAGCGGTGATGGGATCCCACTGATCCCCTCAGTGTGCTGAGATCTGTGTGAGCTGGGGGCCTGGAACTGATTGCAGGGGGCTTTGGGCTTTTAGAAAGCTACCTGGCCAGTGTATAGGGTGATTTCTCTCCTCCACCCCCAAGTCTGCAGTGTGCATGGATATTGGGGGTCTGGGAGAGGTGCTAGGGGCTCAGGAGAGCAGGGAGCATATGGGTTCCCCCAGTTAGGCCTGTGTACTTCAGGACACAGTCACAAGGGGAAAGGGGCCACTTTCTAGGGCAAAAGGAGGACCCATCCTGGATTGGGACAAGGGACCATTGATAGCTTCCCTGGATTATCAGCACCATTCTCAGCCTGCCCTGATGGGGAGGACCCTAGCAGGGCTTGTCTGAGTGCCCAGGCCCTTCCAGAACCAGGAACACAGGGATGGGCTGTCAAATGTCAGACTAGGATACTGTTTTTTTTTTTTTTTTTTGGTCTTTTTCCTTTTTATCGGTACCAGGGATCGAACTCATGACTGCCTGCTAGCTAGGCAGGCGCTTATGCCACTGAGCTAAATCCCCAGCACCTAGGATACTGTTTTGACCTCATGCATTTGCCAGGCCAGGTCTCTGGTACCCCATTTCTGGCCAGCAGCTGATTCAGAGACTGGAGTGGGTCAGTCCAAAGCAGGTCCCAGATCCAGGTCACCTCGTCCAAAGCTCAGCCCCCATTCCCTCTCTGGCCCCTCAGGCTTGCAGCCCCTGCAGTGGAGACCCACAACCCTCTGAACCCCAAACCCTCAGAAGTAAGTCTAGGCTCTGCTGTCACTGGTGCTCATAGGTCCAATGACTTAACTGGCATTGAATCCCCTGGCCCTTCTAGTTCATGTTATCCTCAGAACAAACCTGGGTGAAAGGAGTTCAGAAGAGCATGGAGCTCGCATTGCAGGTCTGGGAAGATTGGCACAGCCTGGAAGTGGGACCCAGGGTTCTCTAGGCTTGGCCAATGCTGTCCTCTCTCTGGGCCTCAGTTTCCCGTGTGTAGAGTACAGTTCTGTTCTAGGGTGAGTATTGGGGCTGGCCAGGTTGGTGGGGACTAGGGCTTACCTCTGTGAGGGAGGGAGGTGGAAAGGGGCCTCACAGGAGTACTAGGCCCAGGCTGCATGTCCTGTCTTCCTGGCAGAGGGTGTGGTCTAGGAAAGCAAAAAGGGACAAGTCCAGCCTAGGACAATGAGATGACCTGTGGGTGTCTAGAGAAGTGTGGCTGCTTATCTGCCACCTCCAGAGCCTCTCCCTCTGTAATCCCACCTCCAATCCAGATTTCTCAGATCTTCAGTGCTAGCCTCGCCCTTGCTCTGCCTGTCTGTAGAGCTATTTGCGGAAGCAGTGACGGCGCTTTAGCGCCTTGCACAAGAAAGGGCACAAACATAGATTTTTGTGATGATATATAAACACAAACATATGGATGCTAGTATATTGGAATTAACTACGTCTTAGCATTTTTCCTTTTAAAAACTCTGTTGGGACCCTCACAAAAATGGAACTCGCCCCCTTTCGCATAGCAGTGCCTATCTTTCAGGGTCCATGGTACATACACCGGGTTTCACGCGCCTCCGTCCCCCGAGCCAGCTGTGTTTCCCAGTGCAGCCGGCAGGGGTCGCTCGCGGAAGGCCCGGAGGGGGCGTGACGGGGGCGTGTTAAAGGCGTGGCTTAGGAGTCCGGAGGGCCAATAAAAGCGGTTGCTTGGCGCCCGCGAGACTCGCTTCCTGTGCGCTGCCGGGCCTATCTTCTGCGCTACGCTAGCGGGTTTCTGTCGCACCCGCGTCCGCGATGCTGGCTTTGCGCTGCGGCCCCCGCCTGCTCGGCCTCCACTCCGGCGCCCGGTCCGCGCCGCTGCGTCTCTCTGCGGTCCCGGTCCGCGCCTGCAGCAGCGGTGACGCTCGCGACCCGACCTCTTCCTCCGGGAACAGGAATCCACTTGTTTACCTGGACGTGGGCGCCGACGGGCGGCCCCTCGGCCGCGTGGTGCTGGAGGTAAGGCCGCTTCCCCGACACCGCCCGCCGGGAAAGGGGCTGGGTGCGATCCTCGGGTTGCCGGGAGCCGCGGCGCGGCGCCTGGTGTGCGGGTGACCTTGGGCCTCCCGCTTCTGGGCCCTGCGCCTCAGTTTCTCCGTCTCTGGGAAGGGGTGTCGGCTTGGTGCCTTCCAGCATCCAAGGGAATAGCTGGGGCGAGGCGAGCCAGGGTGGTGGAGGAGCCTCAAGGTCATCGCGGAGGGGGAGGGTCAGCGATCGCGGCAGGTCTGACTGGGAGAGAGGTCAGCGCCCCTGAGCTGCGAGGTGGGTGCAGCAGTCCCCGGGGCGGGTTGGCGGGGCGTGCGCTCACACGGAAGCCTTTGCATAAAGTGGCACGTGCTCTACCCGCCCCCGCTGGCGCCCACCTTCGGGCAGTGAGTGTGGAAAGCCACTGCTGGGCCACAAGGCCACCAGGACCTGAGTGGCGCCCCCGTGTCTGGAAATGGAGCAGTATTCTGGGTGCCCCCAGTCCAGCCACGCTCCTAAGGTCCATCAGTACCTGCCCGTTTCTTTGGGCCACTTTTAATGCAAAGTAAGAAACATAATTGCCAAGGTAAGTGGGAAGCACTAGCTGGCCCCCCTTTAAGCAAAGGGGCCAATTGACCTTGAGTGGCCTGTTTCCAGGGAGCACTCAGTATTTCCTGTGAAGCCTCAGTTTCCCCTTCTTCGTGGGAGGCACCTTCCCCACATGCTTCCAGTGTAAGAGTGAATCTTGAAGCTGAGCTGGTGGGGGTTGGCCTGGATGGGGCTCCGACCTCCCCTGCCTCCATCCATTTCCCTTCTGTGCACTAAAGGACTTAGACTGGCTCTTCGCTGGTCTGGGATCTGAGGCTGCCTCCTTGCAGCTGGGGTTCAGGAAGCAGCTGTCAGGAGTGATAGCAGCCTCCACTGCTGTCTGTAGGTTTGGCAGTGACAGGGCTGACTGTGGTTCTTCCACATGCCTTAGGCCTCTGTGGGTATGGGTGGCTGGAGGCTTCTTCCCGAGCTTGCCTTGGGACTAACCATTTTTTTGTTCCTCTTTGCTCCCCACAGCTGAAAGCAGATGTCGTCCCAAAGACAGCAGGTAAGGCAGGGCAGGGTGTTGAGTTCAGCCTGGGGAGAGGGCAGGTGGGCACAGGGCAAGAGTTGAGGCTCAAGAATGCAACCAGGTTATGGGTTCCATGTGAGGCTCAGCTGTTGTGTGCTCTAGGGCAGCCTCTGTCTCTCTCTGGGCCTTACCGGTGGCTCTGCCCATCTGTCTATACTAAGCTGGGAGCCTTAGAATGAGGGGATTCCCAGAGACAGCTGCCCTCCTGTTCCCCAGTGTGTGTGTTGGAGGGCAGTCCTGGGGGGGACTCCCTGCTCCACTGACCTACCTGGAAGGCCCTGCCAGGAGCATGTGCCTTTTTTCCTACTGGGAATAGAACTCAGGACCTTGTGCTTGCCAGGCAGGCGCTATGTCGCTGAGCTGTATCCCTGGCCTAAGCATGTGCTCTTGTCACAGTGTTTGGGCTCCGGGGTCAGGGAAAGGAAGTGACTTGTCCTAGTCCCTGTCAGTCTGGCAGGGCAGATGCAGCAGGTGGGCTGGGTTCCCCACATTCCCTCCTAGGGGTATTGGGGTGCAGGCCTACTGACCGCCTCTCTCCCTTCACCCCTTAGAGAATTTCAGAGCACTGTGCACTGGAGAGAAAGGCTTCGGCTACAAAGGCTCCACATTCCACAGGGTGATCCCATCCTTCATGTGCCAGGTAATGTGCCTCAGTCTCCCCTTTGTGCGTGGGGTGTTAATAAGAACATTCATAAGCCCGAAAGTTCCAGGCTATAGGACATACTGAACTGGGCTGCCGAGGTGGCCCCCTGACCTGTGCACAGTGTGAGATGGGCCTGCCCAGCGCTGGAAAGAGAGCTGCCAAGGGAGACGGGGTTGAGGGATGGTTGTGTGTGGGAGGGATCTTAAGGCTTTGAAAGACCTGCAGAGACAGCAGTCTCTGTGCCCCCCTGAGCTCTGGGCATGGGAGATGAGACGAAGAAAGAGGAGAGAGGGGGAACAGGGAGGCCAGGCCCAGCTGGCAGGTGCATGCCTGGGCTTGCAGGAGCTGTTCCCAGCAGACGGCATTGTTCTCCGCTGATGAGTTTATTCTCTGCTCATCTGCCCGCCTGGCTTTCAGAAGCTTTAGCATTGCTTAGGGGTTAGGCGTTGGCAGCAAGAACTTCCCAGGGGTGCGGACCTATGCAGTGCTGGGTAATGTCCTCTAGTACAGCATACCCTCAAGGTCAAGGCCTGGAGGACCTCTCTGAAGTCCTTTTGGCCTGGAATTCTCTCCCATCCCTGCCCCCTGATTCCGCAGCTGCCGCTGTGGTATATGGCAGTGGGACAGGGCCTGTAGATGCACTGCTGCCTGGATCTGCTTGGAAAATGGCCAGGGCAGGGAGGAGCTTAGCTATGGTGCAAGCCTGGCCAAACCCTAGTCTTTGTGCCACCTGAGGCAGAAGCCAAGTTAGCACTCTGTGGGAGGGTCCCAGAGGCCATGTGTCTGGGGATACTTCATGGGTACCTGTTGATACTCAGCAGGTCTGTGCAGGTCATCTGTGTCATCTGAGAATGCTGTCTCAGGAAAATCATAGTGTGGTCGTGGCCAAAGCTCTGCGGGGCACAGCTGGTTATAGAAGTCCTGCCAGGGTTGCCAGGACCTTAGGTGAGCTTTGAGGAAGGATGCCAGCCCTGGTGGGCCAAATCCTGGGTCTACTGGGTTTATGTGAGGGATTTTGGGGTCAGAGAGGGGGAGTCACCCTGATGACCTGAGCAGGCTCAGGGATGGATGCCTGGATGCGTCCTTGTTGCCTTCTAAGACCTGGGGGGTTGCAAGTCCTAGGCTACTAAGCATCAGAACGCCTTTTAGGTCCTTTGAGGAATGCATAAAAGCTTGCTCAGACAAGAAGATAGTGTCCAGAAAACCAGGACAGTTCTTATAGCAGAAAATATTTAAACTTCGATTTTTGCTCATTTGCCTTATTATCTCATCGATCCTCATTTCCTTGGGTGTCTATTGGCCTGAGGGGCTTCTAGCTGGGGGGTGGGGTACTCCTACCAGTCCTGTGTGGCGACTGCTCATAAGTCATTCTGTGCACAGGGAGGCGACTTCACCAACCACAATGGCACGGGGGGCAAGTCCATCTATGGGAGCCGCTTTCCCGATGAGAACTTCACGCTGAAGCACGAGGGGCCAGGTGAGTATGGGCTATGTCCACCTTGAGTCCATACCCCGGCCATTCTCGGCAGCCCTGAAGGCACCAGGCCCGACTGCCCCCCATCTGTGCTGCACCTCGATTCCTCCAGCGACTGGTCTGCTCTCGTTTCTGGCTCACTGGGTTTCCTTAGAGCTTTCGACCCTGCTCTTAGTTTAGAAACAGCCTTCCCCTTGGGGAAGCTGGGGGAGAGCCTTTACACAGAACTCCACTGTGGTGTCACCTACAAGACTCGAAGTGGAATGTGGAAAGCTGCGCCACTGAGCACTTCCCCAGACCCTTTCCTGCCACGCCACCACCTAGTGGCAGCAGAGCAGACAAGCCCTGGGTGCTGCTAGTTGGTGGCCCTGGTACCTTTCCGGGCCCAGGATATGTAGAGTCAAATGTCCCTGGTGTGCTTTGAGCCCTCTGTCCCTCCCAGGTGACATGTGTCCTTGGCAGCGTGACCCACTCTTGCTTATTTCTGCAGGTGTCCTGTCCATGGCCAATGCAGGCCCCAACACCAATGGCTCCCAGTTCTTCATTTGCACCATAAAGACAGACTGGTGAGTGCCCCCTCCAAGCACTGCTGGGGCATGAGGGTGCCCTTGCAGCTGGAGCAGGGTTTGTGCAGGTTCAAGGAAAACCATGTGTGGCCAGGGCATCCATAACTACTCAGGAACAGTGGCCCCTTCTCACGGGCCATGGATTCTAGGACTGTCTTTTCACTGGGGAATGTTTCTCTGCCCAGAGTCCCCTTATTTCCTAGCTTTGGGACATCTGGGTTGGGAGGACAGCAGCTGGCCAGGAGCTAAGACTACGTGAAGCTCCTTTCCAAGATTTTAGGGATTCTTGGAGAATGGGGTAGGATGCTAACATCTCTACCTTCCAGATGAGAAAGATGGGGTGCCAGGCCGGGCAGGTCATCGCTGACCCCTTCCTCTGTGCTCCTTCCATGGAGCCCTCATGGACCCTAGAGCTCGTCATGGGCCCATGTGCCATGGCTGTCGCCACTCTCAGCTTCCCTGGCGTGGTCCTGGTGCCTCTGACATTCTTGGAGCCCTCAACACAAAGGCCGCTTGGGGCGCCCTGTTGCACACCTGTTGCTTTGATGCTTGCTTCATAGGGGTTTGGGCTGTGCGGACTTTGTGCTTTTTCTGAGCAGCTCAATACTTACCAACTCCCCGGGCAGAACAAGCATAGCTCATCTTGCACACACAGGGTTAGGATGCAGGCCAAGCAGCCTAGGGCAGGGTTGCATGGTGCAAGAGGGCAGAACATGTCCTGGAAGCCGGGTGTTCTGTAGGGTGTACTTGGGGAGCTCAGAATGATTTGATTAATGTTCAAGGGGTGGATCCAGCTACTCAAGGTGGGGCTCCATTCTGTATTAGCTTTCTTTCTTTTTTTTTTGGTACCGGGGATTGAACTCGAGACCTTGTGCTTGCCAGGTAGGCACTACTTAGGTCGCTGAGCTAAATCCCTGGCTGGGTTCCATTCTGAATCGCTGTTTTTGGTGAATACCACCTGACCCCGTGGCCAGGGCGTTGGGTGGCACTCATGTTGCATCTGCTCACCGGCACCACTACCCCCGCAGGTTGGATGGCAAGCATGTGGTGTTCGGTCATGTCAAAGAGGGCATGGATGTCGTGAAGAAAATAGAATCTTTCGGCTCTAAGAGTGGGAAGACATCCAAGAAGATTGTCATCACGGACTGTGGCCAGTTGAGCTAACTGGTGGTCAGGGTGCTGGGACATTAGCAGCTGACCCATCCAGGTCACCACTGGGGATTCTTAGCCAAGGTGCCTAGAAGAAGCTGCTGTCCCTGTGTTCTTGAAGGAGGCCACTTAGGGATGTGCACCTCCTCCAGGGCCTCGTGTCTGCCTTCCTCACCTGCCCACCATAGCCAGCATCACACACCCCTCAGCAGGCGCTGCCTGCAGTTACCCGAGCTCCTCTGTGCCTTGGACACTGGTGGTTGTGATGGGATAGCATTCAGTCACCTGACTGGGAGACAGCCAGTTGCTGCCAAAGGACTGTGATACCTGTTTACTGTTGTCTTCCTAATTGCAATAACTTAATTAACAACATAGCCTAGAAATGAAGCTGTGACATGATCTGGGTTGGTGGCGGTCATAGAGCCCCAGATCCTGGCTGTTACAACACAACTCAGGGCTCGTGTGACAGCTCCCATGACTGAGGTCACTGTGAAACTCAATGGTTCACTGCATTCAACTCTGAACCTGGAAGCCAAGCTGCTGTGAGTGGCGCCTACTCAATGTGAATTCCTGTGTGGCAATGGAAGTGGCCCTGGAGGAAAATACTTCTTGTGGGCTTTGCTTTGTCAAAGTGTGTTGAATAAATCCAATCCACTGATGATGTATATGAAAGATTTTGGAACACTTGTGTTACACCTTTAACATGATAATAAATTGTATTTTCTACAAGACTGGTGTCTGTGGTTTTAGAAAGAAACTGTCTATAATTTAAATATCTAAAGCCAAATTTTAATGAGTTAACTTGTGTCTGGTGCAATGCAAACGACTTTGTTTTTCTCCTGGTGCTGGAACCAGGATGAAACCAGGATTTCAAAAATGGTTGGCATATGCTTAACTGTTTCTCTTTTTTTTTTTTGGTCTTTTTCCTTTTTATCGGTACCAGGGATCGAACTCACGACTGCCTGCTTGCAAGGCAGGCGCTTATGCCGCTGAGCTAAATCCCCAGCCCCTTAACTGTTTCTCCAAAGATGTACAGATGGCCAGAGAAGATAGTGGACATCCTTAATCATCAGGGAAATGCAAATCAAAGGCCAGCAAAATACCAGTTTGCACCTGCTCTGAGGGTTAGTATGAAGAAGCTGGGTGGTAATGAATGTGCAGAAACGAAGAGAAACCCTTGTATTTGCAAAATAGCCTGATAGGTCCTTACAAGAGTTTAAATGGAGATCCACACAAAAACCTGCTCATGGATGTTTATAGCAGCATTGTTAATAGTCAGAAAATAGAAATGACCTGGTTTAGCTTTTCTGTCACTGAGACAAATTGCCTGGCAGGCACAGCTTGGAAGAGGAGAGGTTTATTCTAGCTTAGTGTTCATGGGGATCAGTCTATGGGTGATCGCTCCAGAACAGAAAACAGCATGCTGGAAGGACCTGGTGGAGGACAGAGCTCATCCTGTGGCAAGAAACAGAGAGCCTAAGAGCTGGCGATAAGGGTACACCCTTCCATGGCACAGCCCTGGTGCCTACCGCCAACCAGGCTCCACCTTCTAAGGGCACATTCAGCCATGAACTCATCAGTGGATGAATCCACTGGTGATCACAGCATCCAGTGATCCAGCCTTCTAAAAGCCACACCCCTGAACACCAGGCTTCTGGGGGACACTAGATCTAAACCTTAGCATATCCCAAAAGCCCTACAGTGGGCAAATGTCCAAGCATTGTAATGTATCTGTACAGTGGAATTACTGTACTCTAAAAAGGAAGGAGACAGTGATGCTTGCTCCAACTTGGACAAACCTTGGGAACCACAAGCTAAGTGAAAGCCAGTCACAGAAGCCCCCACACTAGGCGATCCCATTCATAGGGAACATCTACCACAGGTCTACAGAGAAAGCAGATTCACAGATGCTCCGGGATGGAGGAGATAGTTGTAGAGATGCCATGAGCCTTCTTTATGGGATCATGCAGATGTTCTCAGGTTCACCTTTGGGGTCGTTGTATATATCTGCAACCACACCAACAACCATTTTGATGGGTGAATTGCACAGTGTATGAATTGTACCACCTGTCAGCTTACAAATGAGTCGTAGCAAGGTCTCGTGATTCTTAGGGTATATAAGCTGTTTCTTCTACTTTCAAAGCAGTGGTCCTGGGTGAGATCATCACAGAATTTCTGAACAGAGCAGTCTTCTCAGACACAGGAGGGCAGGCTAATTCACCCCACCAAAGGAAAAGTGCAGTTATTTGAGGGCGTGAGTTGTTGGTTTCATTTGGAGCCAATCGAATGTCAGAGTCCCTTTCCCGTTCATGCCCTTTCCTGTGAAAAGCTCCGTGACACTGAATTCAAATGATCCTGTGATTCAACAACCTGCACGATTAAAGTTGTGTTCCATTTTAAGTGGTGAATCAGCTCAGTGCCTCCAAGAAGTAAGAGAACCTTTTGGTGCTATTACTGAAGCTTTCTGATTCTCAGATTTTAACTCAGGCTGAGAATTAAAAAAGAACCCAAGTCTTCCATTGGCTTTCGGTAAGCAGGAAAGCAGCTGCAGAATTCATCCCACATCATGGTCTTTACGGTCACCGCCACAGTCATGATGATCAAGTGCTGCAGACACCTGGCCACCTGAGGACATGCTTCTCGTGCTGCAAACGCACAGGTGACCACATGACTCACTTTGATGTCACTGCCTGCCGAGGATCACTAGCATACCATTTCCCATGGCGAGAGGTTCAGCTCTGCCTTCCAGTCCAGGGGCGCCACCTGACAGATCTCCAAACCCATCCCTGTGGAGTTATCTCTTGGGGCTGCGGTTGGTATCCATTCCATACAGCGGAGACTGAGACAACACAGTAATTTGTACCCTGGATTCCTGAGGCGAAGGAAGCTTCTGGACATCCCTCTCCAGCGCCCACTGCTGGTGAAGCTAATGATGGGTCCAAGAGGCCAGGGCGGGGTGAGTGTCTGGAGCAGGGCACTGGAACAAGTTTAAGAGCTCAGAGACAGCACTCGGACACCTGGTGTGTTGCCAATTGCTTTCATAGGCAACTTGAAATTCATTCAGTGAAATTCTTAGACCTTTTGTATTTAATGTAATTGTTAAATTTAAATTGGCCATCTGATTTTCTGTTTTCTGATTTCCTGTTAACTGGCCTTCATTCTTTTTTTTTTTTTGCCTTCTTTTGGATTTTTCCCCCACCCAAATGATTACATCTTAATCTCTACTATTATCTTTCAGATCTTCATTGGTAGTGGTTTCTTTAGGGCTAGGTATATAGTGATTTAACTTATGAACTGATTGCAAATAATATACCCATTTATAGATAGGTAAGAATTGGTGGTAACTTTATTTTTAACTTTTTAAAAAAAGAATTGCCAAACTTTTCCAAAAAAGAAAAAAGCTACGTTTTACATTTCTGCCAGCATTGAATGGGGTTCTGATTTCTTCATGTCTTCACCAACTGTGCTGTTATCTTTTTTTAATTGTAACCATCTTGTAGGTGTGGTCTGTCATTGTGGCTTTATTTCTCTTACCTCCGATGGCTGCCAACGCTGAACACCTTGCCCGTGTGCTTATTGGGCATTTGTGTATCTTCTTTGAATCAATGTCTGTTTAGAGCCTCTGCCTGTTTCATAATTGTTTTGTTGTTGAGCTGTAAAAGCTTTTTATATAGATACAAATTCCTCATCTGAAATGGATGGTCCCCAATTTATGTGGCTTGACTTAAGATTTTTATGCTCTGTAGTGATGGAAAAGAAAGATACATTTGGTAGAAGGCACGGTTTGCGTCTTGATCTTTTTCTGGGCTGGCAGTGTGGGATCCAGCACTGTCTTGCAATGCTGAGCAGCGGGGGTGAGTACCCACCCACCAGCCACCCTGTCAAGTAGGACAGCAGCCAGTCCTCTAGGGCACCGTGCTGCTATGTTGGGAGGTACAGGAATCTGGGCATATTAAGTACATTTTTTGGCTTTTAATATTTTCATCTCTCAATGGGGTTATCAACCCCCATCATACACCAAGGAATAGCAATACATAGTTTATATATAGACATGTCTCGCTTAATGATAAGATACATTGATTTTGCCCTTGTGTGATCATCATAGAGTTACTTATACACTGAAGGGGCAACAACAGCCCAAGGCAGTGTGACCCCAAGAGACTGTCTATGTGATCTGTCCCTGTCTGCAACTTTACCATGCAGCACACGACGGTTCATTTGGCCCAGGCCTCGGAGAGCCTTGTAAACTCTAAGACCTCTTCTAGCATCTGCTAAAAACTCAAGGACGAACCCAGGCAGCCCAAAGGCTGTAGGCACAGCGTGGATGGCTTCCCAGGTCAGGGAGCCTGTTGGAGCAGAGACTTCCCCCGGGAGTCTCCCGGAGCCCAGTGCCCTAGTTGTATACACGGGGAAACTGAGGCCTGGAGGGGCAAAGGGTTGAAGCCAGAGACAGTGGCTGAGAGCTTCCAAGTCAAACCCTAGCTCTCCAGACTTCAGATCTTGTCACTGTGCTGAATGTGAGACTGAGCGAGAGAAAGGTTGTGACTTTTACAAACAAGAATGCTTCAAACTTCAATAGCAATGATAAATGGATTATCCAGCAAAGGGACACGACCAACGATTAGACAAAAGAGACGGTTCTGTACACACAAACATGCATACACACGCTCACACTCACATGCACACACGCAAACACACACAAGCAAAAAGACTGTAGAAGAACACAGCCGATCTCTGGGTGGTGTTGCATGAGAAAAGTCGGCTGCCTGGTAATGTTTTACATCTTTCTGTGTTGTTTCCACCTCACATTTTGTGTGAATTATTTATATCTAGAAAATCCAGGTCTATTGCTTTTGGAGTTTCATTCAAGCACAATGAGATCTGGGGAGATTTGGGCTCACCCTAGGATGTGGGAGAAAGAAAAAAAACCCCTTCTAATTCGCTTACACGGTACCCACTTGCCTGCCAGCAGGAAATTGCAGTACTCCAATTCAGCCACCAGAGGGCAGAAGACACCCAGATGATAGGCACAAGAGGCCAAAATCTGGAGAATTTTGAGCCCGCAAATTTGTCAGGATAGAGTGGGCCCCAGGATCAGAAGTCGTGTCCACTTTGGTGCCTAGCCAAGGTCAGATTCCCAGGGAGAAGAGATAAGGTATTTATATGCTGGCCAAGGGTCCTTTGCCACAGCATGATGGAGAAACTGAGGCACAAGCTCGGTCAGAACTAAGCTAAGAGAGGCTCGGTACAGGGGAAAGGAGGGGAATGGCCTGGGTCAAGGAGAACCAACAGGTCTGGGCCCTTCCTGGGGTAAGGTGTGGGCTCCGGCTGCCAGCCCAACAGTTTCCAGAGTCTACGGCTGGGCAGAGACTGAGGTGGGCTCGTGGGCCACATCAGAGGACCATGGCCTAGCTGCCCCTACCCCCTCCTGTCAACAACTCACTCACACCCGAGTCCCATGCACTGTGATGCCGTGTCTAGTTTACTCTTGACCGTGGCCCTCAGGTAGGTAGGTGGGTGTTGTCATTCCCATTTACAAAGGGGGAAGCTGAGGCTCAGAAAGACCCAGTCCATCTGACTTGAGTCCTTGCTCAGGTTGAGGACAGGAAGGCAGAGATGGAGGTAACAGCAGCACCATAAGCCTAGGCTTTTGAGCAGGACTTGGACCCTACATTGCCCAAAGGGGTGCAGATGTGCAGGGGCTGTGGAGCGAGGCTAAGCTGTGTGGCCAGATCAGGGAGTGGGTGCTGTGCCCTTCAGGGGTGCAGGGAAGGGCCTCTGACTTCCTGCACCGACGTGGAGGATGTGCGTGCATCTCGGGCCTAGAAAAGGCTCCCAGAGTCTGTGTGGTCAGCAGGACACAAGGAGGAGTGTGTCCTGGGGTAAAGGCACAGCTGCCACTGGCTCACTCGCTGGGGATGCAAGTGGAGCTGCCCACCCTGGGGGGGCACCTTGGCAACTCTTCCAGGACAGATGTGGGAGGGGGCTGAGAGCTTCTGGGGGCCGCTGCTCTGCAGCAGGAAGAGGCAGAGCAGGGACCAGACCCCAGACTGCTCTCTCTTCGGATGGAGAGCCACTCTGGGTGGGGTAGAGGGAGTCACCCCAGCTTTCGAACCTCAGCTTCCCCCCCTGTGAGTCATAGTCTCAGAGGAGTGGTGCACGCCTATGATCTCAGCACTCTGGGGAGGCTGAGGCAGGAGAATCACAATGTTGAATCCAGCATGAGCAATTTAGTGACTTTGTGGGGATGTGGCTCATAGGAAGAAGGTCTGGTTTCATTCCCTGGTACTGAAAAAATAAAATGGCCCAGCATGGTCCCTGAGCACAATGATGGCTATCACAGCTCCTCCTTGACCAGACTCACTCAGGGCTCAGCTCCTGCCCAGTCGGGAAACAGCATGGTGAAGAGTCTCCAGCAGGCACCACAGGTTAGTGGGTCCTGGCCCGGCTCCCCACCTACCCGCCATTCTGGATCATTTAGATACAGGGCCCAGGTGTCTGATTTCCCCCCTGCCACTGGGAGGCCAGCCAGGCTTTTCCTCGATGCCAGGCGAGGGTTTGGGGCTTGCTCCTCCCTCCTCCCTCCCTCCCTGGGGTCCCAGCTGGCAGCACAGGAGCTGGGCGGGTTCACCAGAAGCTCATTTCTCTGTTCTGAGTCTCTTTCCTCTGAAAGTAAGATTGGCTAACAGGGCCAAAAGAGGGTGCCCTAGGCTTCCGAGCTGGGGGACCCCATCTCCATAGGGACCTGGCTGGGGTGGGGAGCATCTTCCTAGGGTGCTCAGCCCTTGCTCTGTGTGTGTGTGTGTGTGTGTGTGTGTGTATGTGTGAATATGGGTTTGTGTTTGTGCATGTGTATGAATGAGTGTGAATATGTGTGTATGTGAATGTGTACGTGTGTGGAACTGTTTGTGTCCATGAGTGTGGGAAGAGGTGTGTGCTGTGTGTGTGTGTGTGTGTGTGTGTGTGTGTGTGTGTGTATCCGGGAGGGATGGAGAGCAGGGCCTTTCCTGCTTCCTGGGAATTGGCCCCAGGATCAATGGTGGGGGAGGCTTTGGGGGCCCCAGGCCAGGACAGGCTGTTCCTGGCTCCGGTCACAGCACTGTGGGAACAGCCAAACTCGGCTGCCAAGGGAGCCCACCCCCAGCTGTCGCCTCCCCCTGCCCCAACACCGGTCTCCCAAACACGCGGGGTGGGGGGGCAGGGATGACAGGCCCAGGCCACCCTGGCCGGGCAGCAGCTGGAAGGGCAGCAAGTGCTGGATGCCCACCTGGATCTTCGGGCCATTAGAAGCTGGTCAGGACGTCAAGGTGGAGAGCTGGGCTGCTTGGCTTCTGTGGGCCCCCGTAGCCCAGGGCCTGGGGTCCAGCCACCTAGGAAATGGCGCTGGGTGCCTGACTGCTGGAGACTGGGACAGGATCCATAAATCCATGCATGCAGCAGCCTCAATGAGCCAGCATGGACCATAGAGGGTACCACAGGGGCAGGGTACAACAGAGGATACTTCCTGTCATCTTGAGGGGTCAGGGATCCATCCAGCCTCAGTTTCCCCACCTGCCCTGTTGGCATGCTGGCTCCTGCCAGGACGTAGGAGGCCAGAAGGCCAGGTTGGCCCCCAGGGCCACCTCCAGAAGCATCTGCCCGGAGTAGGTTGGTGGCAGGGGAGCAGCTGTCCCTGAGCTGTGGTCAGAACCGACTGAGCAGGGTGACAGGCAGGCGTGCTGGCTTTGCTGTGCCGGCGGTGACACCAGAGGGCCCTCATGACCTCGCAACTGTCCTGGGCTGCTGTGCTTCCCACTTCCTCTCTCACCCCACCCCGGGGCCACCCCAGCCCGGGTCTCACTCTTGTGCTGCTCTGGACTCCTCCCCAATCCTGCACTGGGGTTCAAGTCCTGCCTCTGCCACATGGGCAGTGGGGGCCAGCTTCTGGCCTGAGCTGCCCAGCTTCTTAGGTCCCCAGTGCCTTTCCCGGCACCCGCTCTGGGCCTCTCGGTGGCCAGCTGCCTCTGGACATCCGTGTGAAGTCCAACCGGAAATCCTTCCTGTCCAGTGGAATTACTGCTCTCCCTTGGCTCTGGGAGATGTTGAAATGCAGGCTGTGTTGGCCTTCAGCATGTTTTCTCGGAAAACAAATCACACAAGGGGATGCGCAGGGCTGTAGACAAGGCAGCAGCCTGTGAGCCTTAGGCTCAGTGGCAGCGGGGAGTCTGCTGTGCCTGCTGTCGGGGCCAGGGGTCCTGGGTTTGAGGCCTGGCCCCCTTCACTCCCCTGTGTCCTCTGCCTGAGCCGCAGGTTGTGGGTGGGAGAGGTCATAGCTACTGGGGCACAGCCACTGGACTGTTCGATGTGCACAGCACCCTCGGGCCTCGGGGAGGTGGGTGGGACCCCAACATAGCACAGCTGGGGCAGGGCTGGCAGGAGCCCTTGCAAGGGCCTGCTGGCTCAGAGAGATGGAGGCTCCCGGGCCTTGCACCCCTCCCAGGCGGCTGGTGGGGCCCCCACTGTCAGGGTTTCACTGCATCTGTAACTTACTGAGTGTCTTCCCGTGTTCCCCTCCACCCGGGTCACCAGCCCTAGCGCCTCCGACTCCAGCCCTGCCTGCCTCTGCATACTGAGTGCAGATGCCCAGTGGGATCCTCTCTGTGCCAGGAGGCAGGAAAAGGCTTGGTGGCTTCAAGATTTTTTCTGCAGCCCAGCTCAGACAAGCGGTCCTGCTTCTGAAGTCAGGGTCTGTGTCCTTCCTGTCCCCACCCCACATGCCTGGATTCAGACCCAAGGACTCCTGTCTGTTCATCTGTCTGTCTGTTTTTCTGTCTTTCTGCCCATCTCAGGCTGCAGTCTGGAGGTGAGAGCTTCCTCCAGATCTATACCTTGGCCTGCACACGATTTAAACAGTTAGGAAACCAGTTGCCATAATGTTAAACTTGGAAAATTTCACGTAGCACCTGGGATTTCCAGTTTTCCTCCACTCTCCCCCACGGGACAACATTATCCCTTTTCTTATTGGTTTGTTCTGAGGACAGGGTCTCACTATGCAGTTCGGGCTGGCCTTGAACTTACAAACTTATTGACACCCTCCTGCTTCTGGAGAGCTGGGATTACAATTGTGTGTCACTGTGCCCAGCTGGCAGCATTATTTTCAGATGGCACCAATGGACTGGAGCTGAGGACCACGTGCCCCTCTGGTAGGCCTGGGAGCTGCCCGCCTGCTGGCCTCCTCACTGACATTGCTATTAGTCCCACATCGGGGGAGAAGGGACTCTGGAAACCCAGAGCTGTTAGGTGTGCATGCATCCTGCGGGATCTGAGGCTTTGTAAACACGGGGCTGTACCCAGACTGATTTCTCAGCATCTCTGGGTAGGACCAAGGCTGCGGCATTCTTAATGAGCAGCATGGTGCCAGTCACAAAGGTTTTGCGACAGGAGCTTCTGATGGTCTTGCTATGTGGCTCTCAACAGGAGCAGGCCCTGGCCCTGGTTGTGCTCAAGAAAGGAGCTCCGTGTCTGTCTGGCCCAGACACTTCCATCTGTCCTCTGTGTGATGTCTGGAACTCAAATCCTGGGCTCAGCTGAGAAGGCCAAGTGTAGGCGGCTGCCACAGGGCCCAGGGCTGCGTCTCTGAGGCAGATTCCCTGCTATATATGGTCCCCTGCTGTCCGGCGCTAGTGTGTGATCTAATCTGCTGGCAATCTCTCCCGATCTGGGGCCTGACTTGGGGAGAGCCTAACCCTAGTGAATGCTCACGTGGGGGTGGAGGGGCTGGGAGGAGCCAGACAGATTGCGTGGAGGGAAGGCAAGGACAAGATGACCAAGGTGGCCTGAGTCCCAGCTCAGCTCTCTCTCTGCCTATGAGATCCGCACCTTGGTGCTCTCTGTAAACAAGGAAACCCATGAGCCTCTGCGCGTTCCAAAGTCCTTTTAATATAGCATGAAAAGGCTATATTTCCAAAGGCAAGGCGTATAGTCTCCAGGAATAAGGCACACACCGGAATGCCATCCCGAGGGCTGCCCTGTGGGGAGCCAGGCGCCGTCTCCAGCGCCCTCCCAGCGGGGCCCGCGGGTTCTGTTTGTCTTTTAGCTGGACACACACATACGGACATCACAGACACAGACAGGGTCACCACACGGGGGTGGAGGAGGTCCAGCAGCTGGAGCTGGTTAAAACAGCAGTGATCCCAACTGTTACCAGCCTCAGGAGGTGGGGAAACCACCGGGTCACCTCTCCAAAGGCTGGGACACCCCACCCTTCAGTGTTAGTTGCTGACTGGGGCACAATGTAGTGAGGCTGGATTAAATATGTGTTTAGAGTAGTTCAAGTCTATTAGATGCTGGAGGCAGGCGTGAGGGCTCTGCATGACCCATCCAAGTTCAAGAGCAGGGCCCGGAGGCTCAGGTGGAAGAGTCCCCAGCTGTCATGGGAGCCCGGCTCCCCCTCACTCCATGGGCCTTGCTGGCCGGCTGAGGGGCTGGATCATCCCACGCTTCCTCTCTTCTCATATCCCACCCCGCCCTACCCTACAAAATTAATAACACCATAGTAACCAGATAATAATGAGAAGGTACGGGAACATAGATTCCAAGGCTGTGCTGGCTATCCTCAGCGGAAGGGGTCACGATTCCCTTTTTTTGTTTTTTGCCATGTATCTAATAATAGCTCCCCTTTAAAAAAAAAAAAAAGCAATGCTTTCCAAAATACACATATGTATAAATACAGGACAAGAACACATTAATAAGTCTAAACACTTGAATAATATGCTGGCTACTAATACTGATATTTTCACCCCAGAAAAACAATACAGAATAACAACAACATGGCTTTAAAGAATCGCAGTATTTTTTTTCTCATCAGAATTATGTACCAACTTCATATAATATTCTATGTAGACAATATTTCCTTCTTAATGTAGTTCACTTGCATACTTTTTACAGACCAAAGCAGAGTAAAAAAAACAAATTTTTAAAAAAGCCAAACAAAAAACCAAAACAAGTAACAGGAAAAAGAGTTCTCACCATAAATATTTTCTTGTAGTTCCACCAGAAGACTTGCAAAAACACTTCCAGAAATCTTTGTTGGATATTCTATTGCCCTCTTAAAAGTTCTGAAGTTTGGAGAATACCCCTCTCTTTGTTTTATAATCTCAAAAAAAAAAAAAAATCAAGCCATTCTATTTTTCTTTTGCTTTTCTTTTTGCTTTTTTTTTTTTTTTTTTAAAAAAGGCCCTCAAATATATACAAACAAAAATCACTGTGAAAAAAATTTTGGGGGGAGAAGCTACCAAATTCAGTGTTGTGAAAAAAAAAAAGTGGTAACCATGCAGAAATTTTAACATCTATTCATTTTTTTCCCAAAATACACACATAGTATTTTTGTTTTTTTAAAAAAGGAAGTCCGTGTCAAGTATAACTCAAAATAAATACAAATTCACAAGTACAGCTAGTGAATACTTCATATGGGGTAAACACCATGATCTCCCAACTGGATCGTTAGATCTATAACCGCAGACGATTGTCCCTTTTTGAATGCACGAACACCACACACTTTCTTGTCTCCGAGCTGCCAGGCCCTCTGAGCACTAAGTTCCCACAGCACACAGCGATCACAGAGCACACCCCAACTGTGCAAGAGGGACGCATAGGGGTGGCTGCCGCAGGCCAGCCTCTGAGGTGGCCTCCTGCCTGCACAGATGGCCGGGTAATGGTGCCAGCTGGACCAGCCCGCTGCGAAGGTCACTTAGGGGTGATATCCTATTTCCTGTTGGCCCTGGCCTCCTGTGGTCTGGAGTCTGGGTTCCTTCTAGGGTGTGAGCTTCCCCACCACCTCTGCAGCCCAGTGGCAGGCCCCAGCGGTCCTCCCTGGCTCTGCTTGTCCTCACATGGAGACAAGCACTCCGTTCGCCACTGGGGTCATTCTCTTTAGGAGCCCAGCAGGATGACTGCCATCTGCAGCTTCTTCTTGGAGACAGAAGCCTTGGGGCCCGGCCACCCAGGTTACCTCAGTGGCAGTATCCAGGGGTGGGTGGTACTGCCAGTCTGCTGCCAGCATGCTGCCCAGGTGGGCAGCAGCTAGAGGGTGCAGCTGCAGCAAACACTCCTGGGTTTTAAGTGCTCAGAGGGTGGGGGGGTCCCCCAAACTCTACCCTGCAGCCCCCCTGGCTGCAAGTCGCTCTGTCTCTACTACCCTACTCCCTGGACCCTTGGTGAGCACTTTACTGTAAATCCTCACTCGCACAAAGCATTTTCATTTGAAAACTAAAGGCGGCCAGGCACCGGATGGGTGTCCTGGAGCCGTGGTAAACACTGGATTTCAGGCCCATTTTGTGGTCTGATTTGTTTTTGTTTTGTTTTGTTTTTTCCCACAGAGGCACAATGTTGGGGCAAAATCAAGAGACCCAGTACTGGCAGCTGGCTCTGTCCCTGCCCCATGAGAAAAGGACAACAGAATCAGGGCTTCTCACTGGGGAGAAAGGAGGCCACATGCCTGCTGCCAACCAGGACTGTGGGCCTCCTGACCGTGTGACATGCCGCGAGGCCTCTCTGCTCCTTTGGGAGGTAGGAAGTCACTGTCCCCATCCCCATGTGACAGGTGCCATGGCTTGTCTCAGGGTAGCCCTCTGGGAGGGGCTGGGAGGTCCTTGTCCATTTTTTGGCAGGGGAAGGGCACAATAGGTTGGGCAGCTGCAAGAGGACTCTTTGTCCCTCAGCTTGGCTTCCTAAGTGGCCACTCGGGGGAATAAAGGGTACCTGGGAGGTGCTGCTCACATTTGAGGGTACAAATACCCCCACCATTCCAGGACAGGTGCCTGGCCAGCCTGCTCCTAGGACATCAGAGCTCTCAGGGACCTCTGTTCTCTAGTGCCGCTCTCTCACCTGACAGGGAAACTGGGGCTGGAGATGTGACATCTTCTCCCCAGGCGGCACAGTGCATTAGCAGAGGGCTGGGCCAGGCCTTGTCCTTTGAACTGGGGCTTGCAGCCCTGACGGTCCCCCGTGGGGTCAGGAGGCAATGGGGATGGGAGGGGAATGAGGCTGACAGGACCCAAGCCAGTGGGATGGTATTAAGGGCTCGTGGCTGTGCCCCCCATGAGCCCCAGGACACATCTTGGGAGCACTGTCCAGTGCACAGTGCCACCTTCTGACCTCTGCTGCCTGGGCCTGGGGCAGTTCCCAGGTGCAATATGGTGACATCAAAGGGGGTCAGGATTTGGGGTTCCCTGTGGGCATGGGACAGAGGTCCACTCCCTAGCAGCTGCGCACAGGTACCTGTGCACTGGAACTGCTGGCTTAGGACTGAGAGGTGGACTTTCTCAGAGTGGCTTTGCACACAGGACAAACAGGACGGTTCTGGGCAGGGGGGGGCCTGGCTGGCCTTGGGGATGCAGCCCCTCGGCCTAGGGATTCACAGTAAATTTAGTGCACTTGTGGCCAATGCAGGCTGCTCACCCCAGAGGACCTCCCAGAGGAGGGGGCCCCGGGGACAGTGACCTCAGCAATACTGTCACCACGCGTGAGGCCAGGGGACACACAACCCCCTGCGCAGCACAGGGAGGTGGCAGGCAGTGGTGTCACTGCACACGGCGGCAATAGTAGCCCAGCACCTTGCACTTCTCGCAGAGGTGCTGTGGGTGCTCCTTGCTCTGGTCAGACACGTCCAGGCCGTCAGGCTTCTCCAGGGGTCTCTGCAGAGGGATGGGGTTCAGGGAGAGACAAAGGATCAGGGGTGCAGAGAGTCCAGAGTGACAGAGACAGTGAGGGACAGAAAGAGACAGGCAGAGACACAGAGAGACAAAGAGGGAGAGACAGAGACACACGGAGATGAAAGAGACCAGGTATGTGGGGAAAGGCCGAGACAAAGAGACAGAGACAGACACAGAGAGTAGCAGAGAGACACAGAGAGAGGCATGAGGGGGGGAGGAAAGGGGGACGGTGCTGTAGTGATCAAGGCCCTTGGAGGGCCAAGGACTCTCGCCCTCCAGCCCCTGTGCAGCTCTGACCCAAGGCACCAGGGAGGGGTCTTCTCCTGGGCCCTGGGTATACTATTTGATCCCTGGAGCCTTCTGAAGCTCATAGGAGTCAGGACAGGGTGGGACAGGAGTTCACAGACTCCTAGGGGATGACACCGAGTCTCTGGGTGAGGGAGACGCCACCCACATGTGATTCCCAGCACTAGAAATTCTTCCCCGGCCACTTGTCACTCCCAACCTGCCCAGGCAGCTTCAGATCACACAGCAGGACTCCTTTGGATACCATCACACACAGCACTGGCTGCTAGCAGTGAGTGAGCCCTGAGCTCCTGGGAGTCTGCAGTCAGTGTTTGCATCCTCCCCACCTCAGGGCCTGGCCTGTTTGCTGAGTGACTCTCTATGAGTGGAATGTCACTGCTTTGTTTTATTGGGCGGGGGGGGTGCTTTTTAAGACAGGGTCTTGCTATGCAGTTCAGGCTGGCCTTGAGCTCACTTTGTAGCCCAGGCTGGTCTCGAACTCACAATGATCCTCCTGCCTCAGCCTCCCGAGTGTTGGGATTACAGGCGTGAGCCACCACAGCCGGCTTTTTTGTCACTGCTTTGTAGTAAGGAACCAGAGGCCCAGTTTCCTGAGGTAGGTAAGGGTGCATTTCTTCTTTTTTTTGTACTGGGAATCGAGCTCTTGACCTTGAATTTGCCAGGCAGGCACTTACGCTGCTGAGCTAAATCCCTGGCCCAAGAGTGCATTTCTGATAAACCGGGAATGTCCCTGCCCTCTCCTCCCTTTCTGCCTGCTCTCAGAAACCAGCAGACACTCCCCGGAAGTGTCATGGAGGCTTTGGGAGCACCCCGGGCAGGCGTGTCCCCTTCCAGCCACAGGCTTGCCTGGACTCCTGCATGTAGAGGGTCCCCTGCACGGATGTGGGGGACTCTGTGGAAGCTGGCCATAGCCAGCTGGGAGCCACAGGCCAGGGTGGGGCTGTAGGCCTATGCGGTATTGGATGCTCAGATGCCTGTGACCTTGCCCAGGTGGTCAGGGGAAGGCAGCTGAGGCAGGAGAATGGCAAGTTCGAGCCCAGCCTGGCAATTTAGCCTTCATGAGACCCCATCACAAAATAAATAAGTAAATACAAATAAAAGGGTCTGGGGCTATGGGTCAGTGGAAGGATCTGGGTTCAATTCCTACTATGATAACACTTTGTTCCTGGGGTTCTTCTGATCCTACGCCTCAGTGGTGATAACGACTAGAAAGGATACTGGACCTCTGAGTGTTGCTCTGCTCATATTAATGGGATGGACACCCTCTGGTTTGGGGTCCCTCAGTGTTAAAGCCAGGTGAGAAGGCCTCAGCGGGGGAGGCTCCCTGCTCTCCCACAACTCCTGAAGGGGACCTACGACTGGACTTCTGTGTCATCCCTCCACACCCCAGTCCCAGGAGCCTCTGCAGGCCAAGCACAGCAGCAGCTCACTGTCCACGCTGTAAGGGCTTCTCCAACTTGAGCTGAACTCGGGGTTCCTGCACCATCCTGCTGGATACCCCAGCCACACGGGCCCTAGGGCTCTGCCCCACTCCCATAGGACACCTGACCAGGGCAGCTCTGAAGGTGACTTCCCTTGATCACCCCATGCTGGCTTTTGGCTGCCCTCCACCATAGCCTGCAGCTCTGTAGCCAGCCACTCCTCCTCCAATCAGCCATCTGGGAGATCTGGTAAGGTCCTTGTGGAAAGGACAGAAGACTGCAGATGGGCCGGCATGGTGTTGCATGAGTGTAATCTCAGCACCCTGGCTGAGGAAGAAGGATACCAAGCCCTAACCAGCCAGCTTGGTGACTTAGGGTGAGCCTGTCTCAAAAGAAAAAACTAAAGAGCTGGGGATGTGGTTCAGTGTGGAAGCCACCACACACACCCCAAATCCGCAGTGGTTAGAACAGTGCCTGGAGCAGGAGAGGCTCTGGATGTGGGCTGGCGTTAATACCACATGTTACTGGTAGCGTTGTGCAGGGCCAGGGGCAGGCTGGGTGGGTTACAAACCTGAGTCCCTGCAGACATGGAAAAACTCTGGCACTATCCTCACCAGCCCCAGCCCTCCGGCCCTCAGGTCAGCTGAGTCTGTGTCTCCCTGGTGGCGACCTCTGTGTCCCAGGGTCTCTGTGTGGGGCCTGGCCTGGCTTCTCAGCCCTGCTCAGCCTGCTGCCTGTGAGAAGCTGGGGAGAGCCATCAGGAAGGCTCCCCTCTGCAGAGGGAAAACACCAGCAGCTGGGACGGATCAGGGAGGGCCACCCCCACCCCCTGCAGGGAGCCCAGGCCCAGCAGTGTTTTCTTCTGGGGGGGGGGGTGAAGCCAGCAGGGTAGGGGGGTCCACAGCTGGAGCCTGACAGGAAACAGATGCGGCAGAGACTGAGTGTGAGGAAGTGCAGAGCTCTAGGGGATGCTGAGGCCCAGGTCAGCGCTGGAGAAACCAGCCAGCCCCTCTCGGCATGGAGACCTGAGGGGTAACAGAGCTGGCTGATTGATCTACTCGTGTCCCATCACCATTCTGGGCCTCAGTCTCCCCCATGCACACAGTAGATACTCAACAAGCACCAGCTGAACAATTGAGAGAGGAAACAGTACAGCAAATGTGCTTTTGAAAGATGCTTCCAGATGAGGCTCTTGGAGGCTCTGATCCTACAGATGGAGGTGGGGTCAGGGCGATTCAGGGCATCACTGGGGCTATGCAGGCAGGATGGGGACCACTGGGGAATGCCACCCTAGGGATGGCAGTGCGGGCTAACAAGATGGAGGGGACACACTGGATACTAGGGCTACTGTGGAGAGCCCAGTCCTGCTGGCCTGGGGTGCTGAGTGGGCCCTGCCTTTCTGCCTAGGTCACCGAGGGTGTGGGAGCTGCACACACTGAGCCCCAGACCCGAGGTGCAAACTCAAGCAGTGGCCATGAGTCTGCATCCCGCAGACACCAAGCCATTCCCAGCTCCCCACCCAGCCTGTCCTCCCCACACCCTCCCTACTCCCGGCCCTGGCCCCGTCTGGCCTCCTCCAGTCCTCAGTCCTCATTACCCTGCAGCCCAAACCTGGCCCCTCCTCACAAATCCCAACATCTCTACTGACCTTGGGGGAACCTTTCACAGCCGGTGCCTCACTTTCTCCTCTGTGAAATGGAGAAACAAACCTTGTGGGGTGTCAGGGAGGGTGACAGGGATAAAGTCTTGGAGGGTAAATACAGGTGGCCAATCCGGGATTCACACTCGGCAGGCTGCCTGGCCTGGGGGCTGGGCGCCCAGCTCAGCCGACCATTTCCAAATAGAAGGGCCACCTCCCACTTGGGGATCCCCACACTAATGCAGAGACACAAGACCAGGGTAACTGTCTTAAAATGAACCCCAGAGCCCTCTTGCTCTCCAGCTCCCATGGGTGCCCCGTGCCCAGGCTCTGGTGACCGTCCTGTTTCTTCCTAGGATGACCATCCCCACTGTGACAAATCCAGCTTCCCACTTCCTGGGTGGGAGCAAGGATCATGCCCTCTCTCTGCCATCAGCCCGTGAAGGTCTGCTCCAGGGTGAACTGTCCCTGCCCAGCACTGCCCAGACTCCAACACATACGCAGCAACCTGTGGCCCCCGAGGGCCTGTGGGTCGCATCACGGCCATCCTTCTTTATTTTAAAACACACCTGAGATCTCTGCCCTGGGAACTTGGCGCCAGTACCTTTTTACCTCTTTCCTGTCCTTGGGAAGTGGGTTCCCCTTCCCTGGATCCCATTTCAGATGAGACTAGGGAAGAAATGGCTTACTTGGAGTGAGCTCATCCCAATAGTATTTAGGAGTAAAATGAGACCCAATGAGAGGAGTTACTCTGCAGAGATTGCCCTATCACAGCTGTCCTGCCCCGCCCTAGCCCCACCCACTATGTGGCTCCGCCCACACACCGCAGCCCCGCCCTCAACTCACCCCAGGGCTCACCTGCTTGTGTGGGTACACATTGATGTGGCACTTGATGCACTCCTGCCCCATGTTGGCCCAGGAGTTCCCGCTCATCCATTTTCTCTTGCACTTGGGACACTTGTACTCGCCGAAGCAGCGCTTTTTGCCCTGGTATGGCGTCAGACCCTCGCCTTTGGGGCGTGCCTAGAGGACAGGAAGCAGACACAGTGGGCTGGGATCCGGCAGACCAGCCTGATATGCCTGTGGGGTACTCGTGTGGGCAGGCACCTTTTGGTCCAACTTAGGGAGCACCAGGTTCCCCTCCCAGGCCTGGGAACCCCAACACCCCTCCTCCAACCAGAGGGAAGGGGAGACATCTTTAGGGACAGACAGACGTACCCAATGATGCAGGTGTCATCGGCTGTCACAGGGACCTGCACACAGTGACAGCCCTGGCACAGACACTGGCATGCAGAGAACACCAGTCTCCACCCAGCCCCAGCTCCCACTTGCAGGGACCCTAAATTCCTTTCTTGCACGCCAAAGGCAGCCTCTGCACTCACACCGGACGAAGCACATGCGGCTGCACTTTATCTTCCTGGGGATGGAAACAGATTGCATCCTGGCTTCGCGATGCCCCTTGCGCTTTCCCCTCCTCAGCACACAAAGGGTGACCGTGTTCTGCCTAACAGCTGCAGAGTTCTAGACTTCAGGCAAGTTTGGGGCACATTTAGCAGAGAGCGCTTCAAAAAGCGTAGGTTGCTTTCCTTTCTTTGGTTGTTACAAAGAAGGCCATCGTGACTGGCTTAGTGCACTATCACTGCACACCTGTGAGTCTTCACAGGATCCATTTGTAGCCGTGAAACTGCTGCATCGGTGGGCGCGTGCACTATTACGTTTTGGAGATCACACCTACATCCAGTGTGCACACCAGCTTCATAATCCCTCACCTCCCCCAGCAGAACTTTAATCACAGTAACCTCCTCATCTGCAGCTTAGCTTTCCACGATTTTGTTTGCCTCCATTTGTTGTTACCTTTGGTCAACTGTAGTCTGAAAATATCACATGGAAGGTGCTACAAATAATGCACAAGTTTTGAATTACATAACAGTTCTGAGTACACGATGAAGTGTCCAAGGGCGGGATGGGGTCACCCTCTGTCCAGGGCATCTGTGCTGTTGAGGCTGCTGGCCCTTAGTGTGCCAGTGCGTGTTCAAGAAGCCCTAGTGTGTGGGAGGCTGAGGCAGGATTGCCGTGAGTTTGAGGCCAGCCTGGGCTGCACAGGGAGACTGTCTCAAAAAAACAAATATAAGAGTAGCAGATGAAATGCATGCTATGTTTGCCGTTGCAGTTCAAATTGCAAAAATATGCAATTTCCAGTAAAAATAAGTGCAAAAAGAAATTAGTTAAGACAGAAAGGCGTTAAATTACAGCCTCTGTTACTATCCGTGTTTTCAGGCATCCATTGAAGGGCCTGGAATGGATCCCTTTCTAAGGGGAGGACTGTGCTATCTGCAACCTGAAAGGCAGAAAATCCCAGACGTACACATTTGTTTGACCTGTGCATATCTTATCATGAGCAAGGAGGAGTTTTCCCATGTATTCAAGAACCTTTTGCTTCCTTTGTGAGCTGTTTGTCCATCTTCTCTGTGAAGTGTTTTTTTTTCTGATGGGGACTTGACTTTTTCTCTTTGATTTGTAACTGCATTTCCTATTTTAAAAAAGCTAGTTCTATCTTGCAGTGTTTTAAAAACAGCTTTACTGAAATGCAATTCACATATCCCACATCTCACCCAGGCAGAGTGGGCAACCCAATTTTAAAACTTTTTTTTTTTTTTTTTTTTGGTACCAGGGATGGAACTCACAACTCCATACTTACCAGGCAAGCAATTGCCTGAAGTAGAGCCCCAGCCCTAGAACACTTTTATCACTGCCAAAAATGAGACCTGTGCCCATTAACAGTCTCACCCCATTATACCCCCACATTCTCATACCACCCAACGCTCGCCAGCCACTATTTTCAGTCTCTATCGCTTTACCTGTTTTAGAAACTTCATATAAGTGGAAACATACAGTATGTGTTCTCTTGTGTCTAGCTTCTTTACCTAATGTGATATTTCAAGATTCATTCATGCTGCAAGTGTGTCAGTAACTCATATTGTTTGGGGGGAGGGGCATTTGCGAAATGGTCTCACTGTATATTCCAGGCTGTCTTGAACTCACTCTGTAGCTCAGGCTGGCCTCGAATTCATGGCAATCCCCCTGCCTCTGCCTCCTAAGTATTGAGATAATGGGTGTGCACCACCATGCCTGATCTATATCCCATTTTGATGTCAAATAATATTCCATTGCAGGGTTGTCATGTCTTATCTCTCCATTCTTCAGATGCTGGACACTTGAGTGCTTCCTAATTTTTGCCTATCACAAAGAAAGTGGCTGTGAGCATCTGTGTACACACAGCAGTGCTGTGAAAAGTTAGATCGGCTACTTTAATATTTGAAAATAGGAGGTGTCACATGGAAATAGCTCTGTGCTATGCCGATTCAGTGTGGAGCCCAGGCTGGTGTAACACCTGGCAGCTGGGAAAGCCACCTTAGCTCTCTGGCCTCAGAATCTGCCTCTGACACAGCCCCAGGGAAGACTCAGGCAGTTAAATCCAAGAACCTTGGGCCACGAGGCGACCCCTCCAGACTAGCTTCCCTGAGTACTACCCACTCATGGAGCAGCACAGGCCGGGGTGTGGCTCGATGGCAGAGGACCTGCCTAGCACCTGTGGGGTTCTGGGTTCAAAGAGCACAGATGTTGGGTCCGAATTCTAGCTCTGGTATCTTGGGCAAGGTACTACTCAAGGGTAATGGACATCATCACCATATAAGATGGTTCTGAGGTTGAAATGAGACCGTGTGAAACACTGAGGACAGAGGTGGCACACAGAAGGTGGCACTGGTGGTGGCACACATTTGTAATCCCAGCACTCCGGGAGATCACTGTGAGTTTGAGGCCAGCCTAGGCTACATAGTGGGTCAGGATCATCCTGGATTCCACAGTGAGACACTGTCTCCAAAAAACCAAAAATAAATTTTAAAATAAACATTTTTTTTAAAAAAAAGGTGACACAAAAGTATTTGTACCATTATATTGTTTCCTTACATTGAACAACAGTGGCACATAAAATTTAATTTTTTTTCTGATAATCTTTCTTCCTTTCTTCCTTTCCTCCTCTTCCTTCCCTGCTACCCCTTGGTGACAGCTGGCAGGTGGTAAGCAAGGGTGAAAAGATCCTGGCTTGGGAGGGAGCAGCCCTGCCTGTGCCTGCGATCCTCACCGAGCATCCGGCAGGGAAGCCCGGGGAGAAGGTTCTGTCCCCCTCCCTGCAGGTCTGAGGGACCCATGACAGTGTCAGCAAGGGACTCTCAGCATGCAGCTGGGCCTGGCTTAGTTAGTGTGGCAGAGAATCAACCCGTGTGTCCCTGCAGGTGTCCCCTAAGCCTTGTGCTGTGCTGTCTCCCCAGGGGCCCGGCACCCCGGCTCCTGACAGGCTCCCCGCTGTCACCCCCTGCAGCAAAGGTCCCTTGCCAGGGCATCTGGCATCCATCTGCCTGGTGAAAGATGACCAGGGAGCAGGTGAGTGCTGTGCCCACAGTGGGCTCTGAGATGCCTCCATCGAAAGGGGCATGGGGTCTGTCCCCAGACGGGCTGCTCCAGGGTCTGGTTCCACAGCCTCTGAGACCTGGCTCCCAGCCCCACACTGCTGCGGCAAAGGGCAGGGGTCAGGGGATCAGAGAGAGGGGTCAAGTCACCCCACGAACCTCATCAGTGCCAAGCATGGGGAGCAGGCTGGATTAGACACAGGTCCCAGTGTCTGGGGAGCCTCTGCTTCAGAAGCCAGAGGGGAAGAAACACAGCTAGGGAATGGGGCGCAGAGGGTACAGTGAGGGAGAAGCAAGAGGACAGAAGGGGGTGAGCGAGGGACGGGGCCCTCCTGTGGGGCCGGATGTCCAGGTGTGGCCGCTCGCATAGCCTCCCGGCCAGGCCCTGAGCAACCCCATACTGACGCCTGTCCCACGAAACCAGGCTCAGATCCAGGGCTCCAGGGCTCCAGAGTCACAAACTGCCTCTGCCCATGACCACGGCGGGGGACTCGGCAAGTCACCAACTGTCTGCACTCAGCCAGGGGCTGCCTCCCAGGCTGTCAGGAGGATGCGGTGCTGCCCACCCAGCAAGGCCTCTGCTCAGAGACCACACTGCACAGGAGAGGGACGAAGGGCCTGGAGCTGATGCAGAAGCTGGGACTGTGACCCACAGGTGCCAGCTGGAAAAGGGAGGTTCTGGAAGGGGGTAAGGCGAGGTCTTTGGCCCTGCATTGAGGGAGAGGGCGTAGCAAGCCAGAGGAGGAGCAGCGTGAGGAGTCCTCATCCTGTAGATTCTCATGGAAGGACCAAGAAAGGCAAAGAGAGGCTGCGGAAGCTTAGAGACAAGGGAAGAGGAGAAATCAGGTGCCCATTCAGTGCTTCCCAGAACCCTATGGGGCAGGGAAGCCATCAACCCATTCAGCAGCTAGTGAAACTCAGGCCCATGGCGGGTGGGATTTGCCGAAGAGCATTCACATGTTTGGGGTGGCAAAGGCTCAGCAGGCTTCAAACCAGGGCCACCCTTGCCGCAACTTCCATCTGCCAGCCCCAAGTGTGTCACATTCACAAGGCCATGGATGTTTGAGGGAAGGGAAATCCCCAGCTGCAGGAACTACAGGAGAAATCCCAAGGGCCTCCTGCCCTGTCCACCCCAGTGTCAGAGGGGACTCAGCTTGCAGGGCGTGCACAGAGGGGACGGGGGACAGCAGGTCAGGAACAGTGTTTAGCAGTGAGAAGCCATTTCCCAGAAGGCTCTGTGGCCCGCCCAGCATTGTTTATGCTCACCCACGAGGACAGGACCACAGAGAGGGGCCATTTCCACAGAAAAAAGGCATCTCTGCTCCCCAGGCCTCCTCCCAGAAAGCCACGGCTTCTTTTCATAAACTCTAGTACAAAACAGTCACTGCAGATAGCTCTGCGGGGCCACCACCCGCTCAGCTGGGCGGGATGCCAGGCCCCAGCAGGCTGGCTTGACCCAGGCCCCTGCCACGTACCCCCCTGGGGAATCCCATCTGCTGGGAGCCAAGATGCAGATCACTGAGGATCAGAAATCACGTTCAGTAGCACAGATGG